GTTATTTTTTTCTAATTTTCGTAATCTCCAATATTGTAATGTGTCTAAAACTTAGTTCAGTTCACCTGCAGATTACTCCTGTATTTTCTCAGACGACCGCTAAATACGGCTTTTTGTAGTTATCTAAGACCTTCCCACAAGGTGGAATGTGGGCTGGTTATTTTACGTGGGGCGATTTAGAGGCCCGTAGACTTGGGCAAAAATTGCCTGTAGACCCCGTATACACGGGGTCGGATAGCTATCTACCTTTCCAGACGAGATTCTTCCTTTCGGCATAGCCTCGTTTGGGTTCCTCTTTGCCAGGAACAGAGAGGTCGACCAGCAGAGCACCAACAAACACAGAGTTTTGCTATTTTTCAAGACCTCCACACAAGGCGGGATGTAGCACAAAGCCGATTTTTAATGTGGAGCTAGTCCGAGCCCGAGTCCATAGGCTCGGTCAAAAATTGTCCGTAGACGCCATATACACGGAGTTAGGTAGCTGTCTACCTCCCCAGACGAGACTCTGCTCTTCGACATAACCTCGTCTGGGTTCCTCTCCGCCCGGAGTCAGAGAGGTTGACAAGCAGAACACCAGCAAACCAAGAGGTTTTGCTGTCTCAATATTTATTGTTATGAATACAAACAAATGTGGCACAAGGCCAAAAAGGGGGATTGGGGAATGACGGTCTTCTTCTGTCATTAATCTAAAACTTAGCTAGTCACAGACACTGACCCAGACATGCCAACAATAAACCAATCACCAAAACATCACATTCACTCCTACCATTCTTACTACGTCCACCATAATACCTCAGTTTCTCTATGACGTCTTAACTAGTCCCCATATGTACAAATATTGTTCATGGGGGGAGGGTCATAAAATTAAACAACTTTTAAAAAATCCCCAAATGTGTATTTACAGAATGAACTAAATATTTACAATAAAACTAAACAAAACTTAGTTAGTAATAAAACCCCCCACAAACTATGAATGTGGCAGAAATGTCAGTTAACCAGACGAAATCGATGCGGGACTAAGCAAATAAGTAGACATTCAGACCATCAAGCATTCACACAAACACTCACTCATTCATACACAACAACAAATACGAAAACACACACCCGAAACGAAAGGCGTCCCGCATCCACCAGAAAACTGACATCACTAACCACCTAACGAGGGAGGGGATGGGGAATTAAACAAAAGTAAAAGAAATAGGGACAGAAATAAAAGGGACCAATGAGCTTACATACCCTAGCTAAGTTAAACGGGAAAAAAAGGAAAAACTAAATATTCAAAAACAAAAACCTAGTCTAACCTAATATCTGGGTGGGTTGCCAAAGTTAAACCCTGTTAGGACAATATTCTGTGCCTAACCGACATCTAAATGCCACTCAAGGTCAGCCCCTTTCACTCTACACATTCGCGCAAGATTCACCCACCTTTTGCCGAATTCTGATGATGGGAGCCGCCGCCTTTCCGTCCTAATCTTGACTTTAAGCTGATGCCTAAAGTACAAGATCAGTTGGGAAGAGGTGAACTTCTCGCCTTCATAGAATCCCTTCTGTCGCGTCGTCCAAATCACGACTCGCATAACCCCTAGTAAGCAACAGAACACATAGTGTTCAGCCTTCGTCAATTGCGATACCACATTGCTACAAACAGAACTGGCTTCCAGGACAAAAACTTTCCCTGCAGCATGCGAACCATGAGGCCTTCAACAAACTTGCACAACGGCACTACCGCACTGCACTGAAAAAAGGCGTGACCAACGGTCTCGACATTCCCAGTAAAAGCGACGACAGTTTGGATATTTCTCCAAGCCTGCTGAACAAAGTCTTTTGCCGACCCAGAGGGCCCCGCGAATCATCAGCCAGGTGAGTGATGCCTCATCGTTATTGAGACATTTCAACCCAGGCGCCCAAGGCCAAACCGAGCGAGCCTCCTGCTTCGTAAGACCGAGCTCGTCGATCAGATCATCTTGAACGGCCCCCCAAACTAACACACGATATAATGCCTTACGAGACAACGCTTGGGCGTCGGAGAGGCCAACCGACGACCGCAAGAGGAGCTTCAAAAGCGCGACGACATTCACGATAGAAGGAGCACTCGCCACGAGGAGTACGACCGGCCTCCTCCTCGCACGAGTGCACACTTCTCAGGGATGGGAAATGTTTACGGACATCTTCTTTCCAAAAGGTGCCCACCTCATCCAAACCGCGACACATTCGGTCGAGAAAGGTAATGCGTAGCATATATTGACGAATCTCAATGCTAGGCATTCCCAGACCGCCCTCAGAGGGATGAAGGCAACAGATCTCGCGAGATGCCATGTGGGCCTTGCCTCTCCACAAGAAAGAGAACAAGGCCTTGACTAATGACATTAGTCGGGCATACGGGAGTGGAAGCACAGAAAGACGGTAGAGGAGTATCGGATAGATGTGGGAACCACAAACTTCCGCCCTTCCCTTCAGGGAAAGTCCCTCCGAGACCACAGACTAGCCGCGACCTCGGCCCGCCCCTGTACCTCCGACCAATTCTTTTCCAACTGGAGATCAGGACCGAACCAGACGCCGAGTATCTTGATCGGCCCATCCGTCCAGAGGAAAGGTCCGGGAAGAAAACTCCCACGCACCCAACCGCAAGCCCACAGACTTATCGCGGTTGATTTTGGCCCTGTCACCATCTCATACCCACTGATCTGCTTACTGACTTCGTTAATCTCGGCTCTGCTCGACACAAGAACCGAAACGTCGTCAGCATAGGCAGAATACCTGGCCGAGGTGTTAGCACCAGGCAGCGAAATACCGCGTAGGACCGGATTCGCCTTTAACTTGCGAAGGAAAGGCTCCAACGCAAGAACGTAAAAGCAGAGGCGATAGCGGACAACCTTGACGAATGGAGCGAGACAATGCGAAAGGCTTCGATCTTACCCCATTCACTTCGACCAGCGCACCGGGGGTCGCATACAAAGACGGATCCAGGGCGAAAGTCGGCTCCGAAACCGGCCGCCGAAAGGACAGCCTCCAGAAATCGATGGTCAACCCTATCGAAGGCCTTGGACTGATCTAAATTGATCAGCGCGGCTTCACTGTCGACTTGTTCTAAGATCAGTCGTACCATATGAAGGTTATCCTGAATAGTCCTGCCCTTCACAGCACAAGTCTGTTCAGGGCCAATCAGACTAGACAGGACAAGCTGCAAACGGTTAGCCAAGATCTTCGCCAAAATCTTTAAGTCAGTGTTTAACATCGTTAAAGGGCGAAAGTTCCCTAACCCATCCCCGTCCTTGTCCTTACGCAGCAACTTGTGACACCTCTGGTGAAGCGTTGAGGTAAAGACCCTGCCTCATCCAGTGGTTGTACATCAGTTCCAGCAAAGGCACAAAAACGTGCGACAACCTCAAGTACACTTCGTAAGGCAGACCATCTAATCCCGGAGACTTATCCAGGCCAACCTGCTTCAGCGCTTCCCAGATTTCCGACTCTGTTATGCGGCCCTCGCACCTAGCCACTTCAGCTGCCGAGAGGCAGGGAAAGTCAGCTAAATAGGCGTCGAACTGAGCAGAACTCAGACCGGGCTCCCTGGTGAAAAGCTCCTGAAAATAATCTCGAAAGACCTCACATATGCCCGCGTTTGTAGTCACAGTCCGCTTATCCGGTAATGTGACGCACGCTATATGTCGCCTGGCCGCGTTTCGATTTTCCTCTACACGCAGATCAGCGGCCATATTCGTTGCCTCAGAAGACATTCTTTTAACCTAGCCCTAACTACCAGAGCTTGATCCTTCTTGATAAGCAAGGAGGCCAACTCTGCCCTAGCTAAGACTATGTCCCCCACTAACACGGGATTTCACGGCCCGATCAACTTTTTTCTTCTAAAGCCGTTCGCGCCGCTAATTTATCTAAATTGAGCCGACGACTAAAGTCGGCAGCAAACGAACGAATCTTAGATTTTAATTTGCCCCACCAGGCATTTCCCACAACCGCTCCCGTCAATTCCCTCTGGATTGTTAGTAGCAGCTGGTCCCGGAAACCCTGATCACTGAAAAGCGAACAGTTCAATTTCCAGTAAAGGTTTTGCTGTCTCTCCTAGTCCAACGTTCCGCCCTTAAACTTATACATGTGCGGGCGAGTCCACCTCGTCGCTCGGAGTATAACACATCCATAAATGTGTTTCGGTTTTAAATAACCTACAAAAGTAAATAACCTACAAATAAAATAAATAACCTCCAAATTTTTACAAAAAAACAAATAACCTACAAAAAAGATAACATACAAATGAAATAAATTACCTCGAAATCTTTATAAATGTAAATAACCTACAAAATTAAATAACCTACAAATGTAAATAACCTACAAAAGTAAAAAAAAATCTCCAAAACTTTATAAAAATAAATAACCTACAAAAGAAAATGACCTACAAATAAAATAAATAACCTCCAAATCTTTACAAATGTAAATAATCTACAAAATTAAATAACCTACAAAAGTAAATAACCACCGAATCTTTTTAATATTGATTGATTTGATTTACGGCTTCATAATCCGTAAAAACAAATCGTGAAAAATTTTGACTCTTGCAAACTGGATCTAAAATTTACTCACCCTTCAAACGGAAGCCAAAATAGTTCGATTAAACAAATCATAACATTAAATAACCCAAATGAGTTGAAATGCTGTTAAAAATATTTAGATTATATTTATTTAGTTATTTATTTAAATTTGCTCGTTCATTCATTTAAATTTATTGAAATTTATTTATTATTTACTTAAATTTATTTGTTAAAATTTTTATTTAAATTTACAAAAATATTTTAACATTTATATATTTTAGAGAAAGATTTATAAATTTCCACCGACAGAAATGCTGTTTGGTCAATGAATACTGAATGCTTCCTTAGTATTACCATTAAGCAGACAAACATCTTGACAATAAAATACTTTCGTAGCGTGACGTTCTAAACTCGACACTCATTCAATGTCAATATAAATCAATGAAACCATTTATTCTTCAGGCGCAAAAGGCATCCACGTGACTAATTGCAAGGTTTCTCCTGAACCAAATAAGCAACCATTGTTGACATTACTCGACGGCAACGGGTAAATATTAACGACATTATCTTCTGTTTAATGAATTGCAAGGAATTGTCCATGTACATTAGATATTGATGAGTTTCTTTCTAATGGTAACTATACGTGTATTTTCTTTTTTCCAGCTGTTCAACAGATCTAAATCTTCTCTCTCCTTTCCATGGAATAGACGAAGACGGTTCAGTCGCCCAGAGTGGTCTCTTTCAAATATTCAAATTCACCACCAGCAACACATTATATTTCACTTGCCAGTTGGACTTTTGCTACACGCATGCCGACCCGTTTTGCGCACAGGTAGAGTATATACTATGCAGACACTATGTATCTGGTTTCAACTGATTGTAAGAAATAAAGATATATGTACTAGTTTTCAGAAAAAAACAAACAAAACAAAACACGTGAAGCAGAAGGTAGAAACGAATTCACTGTTGTAATGAGTATGATGCTGTGTGACTGTGATTGTCACTCAATATGAACAACATCACCAATTACGGTTCACACTTTTACTACCAAAGGATCAGGGGCTATCATAGATCAATAAAAAAAATGCATTAAAATCATACTACCATCTTAATAGAAATGGATTTATTCTAGTCACGAACAGAAAAGAGTAAGAGAAAAATTGCACCCGACATTAAGTTTCATACACAACGTTGTGGCGTCCAACGTTTGATATTTTTGAAATCATTTCAGCCCAAGTGAGGCGACAATGCCATTAAGACATTGCGTCTTAGTGGCATATTATCGGGGTTACTGGGAGTGGAAGGGAATTAGAAGACTTTTAGTGAGGTGAAAGGTTCATGAAGGCAGAAGATTACAATTGATGTTGTATTTAAAGTTTTGTAGATTGTAGAAAAAGCAAGAAATCGTAAGATGAGAAGTGAGAGAAAAAGACACTATTAAAATAGAACTTAGGATTACATCTAAGCTATTTCAATAGTAAAAAAGATGAAACTTTTAAGTTGTAGTACGCTTAAATTCATCCGGTCGAAGTAGCAAGGAAGAGAATTCATTAGAACACTTGCCATGAAAATAGAGAGATGCCACGTCATGGCGGTGGGAAACTAACTGAAGCCGAAATGCCAGGTCAGGACCAATAACAACATTACAAACTCTTCTTTGGATTTTATCGAAAATCTTGAGATATATAGCTGGAGCACCATACCAGATAAGCCATTAATATTCATATATTAATATTCAGGGAAGAGTGGTTGATTTATTAATGTGAACTATTTCTGACGAGAAAAATTGTCTGGCACGACACAGTGAACGAACTTTCCTAGGTAGCAGTAGACATGGCAGTTAATTCAATGTGATAACTCCATCTCATGCCAGTAGAAAACGTAATAAAATCATTGTTCTTTGTGAAAGAACTAAAAAGAGATTGGGCATATTTATTTGTCTTTGTCGTGTGTATACAACGTTGGAAACATCATCTAGTAGGTATGATGACCGTAGTTTAACATAGTAGAGAAAAGTGAGGAGCGGTTCAAGACATTATCGACACAACACCAACCCTGTCACATCATAACTTGAAAAGCCATACTATTCAGGTGGTATTCAAATATGAAAATTAACGATGGAGCTGGTGACTTTTTTTAATGCCATGTTCTTTCAGGACGTAAGCGATCATTGTTTTTCGCAGTCTCCTTTTACTTTATTATTTACGAATTGCCACGAATTTCCAGCGAAAGTGGTTCCCCGTTGACTTCTACATGCTTTTTAAATTCACATTAGACTTTCTCTTAGACTGACTACTATTTAAGTCGAGAGGGTTCTGTTTACTCTGTTAGGGGAGGTGAGGGGACGATAGAGAAGATGGATACTTGCCTTGGTCAAGAGGCATTACTGAGAAAGTGAACGAAATTATGCCAGAATTTGAATACTGCTAGCCGATTTCACATTGCTCGGCAATAACTGTCACACTAACCGTACACTCCGACACAAAATCATAGTCATTGTAAAAACATATTTTCATTCTGTTAAAAACTATTTTGTCTTTTGCACTAGTCTGAATGTAGATTGATGGCTTTGTTTTTTTATGGCTTATCAACCTCTTTTGCAGGTTATTTAAAGCCAGAAAATATTTTTAGATTGTATGAAGTTTTTGGAGATAATAATGATTTACTGATACAAGTCCTACTAATTAACCCATAGCTGGGGGAGAACAGGTAGATTCATAATTTTCCCAAAAGGTATTTGCGCGTGAATATAACGAAGCCGTCTGGAATTTGAAGTCGGCTCTCTGATTTCCAATTCCTTATCTATCACATCACCTACACATCAAAGTTTACAGCACCAGATATTCTCAAGTGGTCACCCATCTAGGTACTGATCTGGCTCGACGTTGCTTAACTTCGTTAGATCGTACGAAGACTGGTGTTTCAACGTGGTATGGCCTTAAGCTATCTGAATGTAGAAAAATACAAAGTTATGTAGCAACATATCGGTTGTGCAAGTAAATTCCCATATTTTGTTGTATTTAATTTTGTATAGCGGTAAGTCTTTGATCAAAATAGATTCATTAAGGATCTTGTATAAAATTCAAAGAAGAATCAGAATTATTATTGACCCTGTTCTGGCGTTTCGGCTTCAGTCACTTTTCCACCGCTATAAGGTTGCCTCCTTATGCCGTTTCTATAAATGATTTTATGGTAATTGTTCGGATGAGCACTTCGTTATGGTGCCAAGATACTTTGAATTTAAGTGCAATATTAGACTGGCAGAGAAATCTCATCAATTTATAGCTGTGCTCGCTAGATGTAGCCGTAACTAACACTGCTAACAGTTTCTTTTCTCGAACTTCTAGTTTGTGGAACTCCCTTCCGGCTCCATGCTTTCTAGCCAACTTTAATCTTCAAAAATTTAAATGCAATGTCAATCGTTATCTTCTGTCCTCCTGATTACTCTTCTTTTGTTCTCGCTCCTTAGCAATGGTTCTATTTTTAACTCTTCCACACTCAGTAACCCCTTGTTACTGCCTTGCATGGGGTGAATTTGATTAAAAAGAAAAATCTAGGCGTAGTGACGTAATTTGCAAAAAGAAATGCTTTATGAAGACTCATTATAATATAATATGTATTTTCCATTAAGAACCACTAAAGAATTTACGCCCAAAACAAATGTGTACGAACCATTAATAGATGCATATAGAAAGAAAAGCAATATGTGACAATGGAATCAGTGTGGTTGTGGATCGTGTAAAAAGGTTTCATATCAAATAAATCTTTGGGTAGACATGTGACTATGAAAAAGCGTACACATACATGAATAATGTCTCGAATCATAGACATAAATTGTAAAAACTGACACAGTGACAACTAAAATTATGAAAGAAGCTTCGTTATTGCCAACCTCTTATTGGAAGGGTCTACATTTCTGTGCTAACGTTCGAGTGTTCGGGAGACTTATATGAAACTATCCACAAAATCAAATTACTCATTTCAGCCAACTCTCGTAGAGTGTGGTAGTATTGCAATATTGTCATGCCGTAGAAGTGATTTTAACACAGTTATCAGGCATTTCGATATAATTACAAATAATTATCTAATAATGAGTTAACGTTTGTGTGAGTGTGTTGGAAATTATATTCACAATGTCAAATCAATCGTTTCAACGGATTCTCGGTAAATATATACCATCATTCTCTTTCTATCTATCTATCTGAATTTATTCATATATTTCTCAGTCTGTTCCTATCTCTATCTATCTATCTATCTATCTATCTATCTATCTATCTATCTATCTATCTATCTATCTATCTATCTATCTAAATAATGTTATACTCATTATATGTCTATTTGTTTCTCGTTAAGATGAAAAATTTCTTTATTTATGCGCTGTTTTGATATACTAGAAAATGATTTCATTCCAGGGAGAAGGCCCGGAGCTAAGGATGGCTTTAGAAAAAAACATGTCAGAAGAATGCGGCAGAATGTTGATTGAAAGTAATTTCGTTATCTGCTATTCTTCACCGGATGGAACAGAAGCCATCGTTCAGTAATTAAAAATGTCAAATGTTTATGAGAGTTTTTCAAGTGAAACATTCACAAACACAAATTTGTGCAATCATGAAGACACTTGTTTATTGTGTGAGTTGTTTCATATTTCCTTACACGGTTTCTTTAACTAAATAAGACCGCAGGTTTCTTTAATAAATCTTCTTTTGTCGTCTTGTCTTCTTATACATTCAGTGTCATGAATAAAGATACGGTGGATAAAGTTCCTCAGAGAAAAATCCAATAAATTTGATTGTATGACAATAAGATGTTCATTTTCTTAGAATATTTTGCAAAGATTCCCGTGATGTGTTTAGGTTACCTTGAACAGCGATAGTGAAGTTGGTTAGATCTGCGCATGCGCGTTTTCAAATTAATGTTATTTTCTGTGCGAAAGTTCTGTTCGCCATTCTGCACCCAGCTTCAACACGAATTTTGATGAAATCGGTTTCTCTGTCAAGAATCTACCAGTAGAGTTGTAAATTATTTCCAGGAAAGCCCAAAAATGATCATTTTCGCCAAATATATTTTCTTTAGGCAAACATTAGATGTCCATTTAAAATAAAGATTAAATTTTATATCTGCATCCGTTAATCAATATTCAGTTTTTTCTTTAACTTTTCATTTTTAGAACAGAAATAAATCTTGAGAATCATTCAAGTAATTATATTGTTGTAGGAAGATGCAAATTATTAAAAAATGTAAAATTTGTTTTCCTGTTCGGATTTTCGATTAAAGCCAATCAGAGACAAACATCTACAGTATTTCGTGATGGAAATTATTTTCAACGAAAAACAATGTGTAAATTCAATCGTAAGTTTTATGCTACATGTTTCTTCTCTTGCATTTTTCTATTCTGCAAGAAGTTTGCTTAAAATCTATGATGTTTATGACTTCATCTAAAATTCAGGCTTTGATCTGGATTCGAACGCCGAACTCTGCCACTGGTGGTGAAATACGCAGGTACTTCAGCCAAAAGGGAAAACACGTGGATTTCCAATTCATTCAATTTTATTTCGTTTTTGCTTTACAATCCTATTAATTCAAAGATGATTTATCTGGTTATCGCTAGACATTACTTAATTTATTTTAGCTGAATGATCTACACCTGTTTTCTTGAGCCAACTCCTCCACGAAATATAAAGTTAAATGCAAAGAAGGCTTAAACAGCATAGATTTCAAGCAAAGCTCTTGTAGAAAAGAAAATGTCTTCGTATTTAAATACATATATTAAACAAGTGTTAATTGAAATGAGTACTATTAGGTTGGTGCAAAAATAATGAAGTAATAATGTCGTTTTTGATGTTAAAAAATACGTCAAAAAACGACATTATTACGTCATTATTTTTGCACCAAACTAATATAATTTTATTCATATTTAGAAGAATAAGATATATAAATTCTTTCATATAAAATAAAATCTGTACTTTTTATTATGCTTCATATTTCGAACCTTAAGAATAATTGTGTGAATAGTAAATTAGCAATGATTTGTAGGTATTATTTAGCCCATATCTTTAGGGGGGAAAGATGTATTCATATCGCGTAAGTGAATATAATGAACTTGACTAGAATTCGAACGCGACTCTCCGAGTTCTCATTCCGAACCATATCTCCCTCCAATCATATGTCAAGCGAATCTCTGCTGAACGTATGTTGATCATTATTTTATGTTAAGTACGTTTGTTAAAAATAATTTCAATCGCTAAATATTGAAACAGTTTGTCTCTGATTGGCCTTTAACGAAAAATCAAAAAGGAATAAATTTTACAGTTCATTTTTGTAAATTATTTGCATCTTCCTACGACAATAGTGCAACAAAAATTACTCCATATTTACCCCCGTTCCAATAATGAACAGCTGAAAAATAAGTGAATATTGATTGACGGATACGGACCTAAATATTCATTTGTTTAACTTTGCATTTCGTGGAAGAGTTTACTCAAGAAAGCAGGTGTAGATGATTCTGCTAAAATTAAATTGCAATAATGGCTACCGACAACCTCATAAATCATCGATTCCTAGAATTAATCAGATTGTAAGGAAAAGAAAAATAAATTTGAATGAAATGGAATCCGCGTGTGTTCTTTTTTGGTTGAAGTAATTTCTTATTTTTCCAACCAGTGGCATTGTTCGGCGTTCGAATCCAGATAAAAGCCAGAATTTTGAATGAAGTCTTAAACATCACAGATTTTAAGCAAAGCTTTTCAAGAAAATAATTCGTTGTTAATCTTTTCACCCCAAGTAAGGTAATAAAGCCACTAACACACAGGGGGGTTACTGATTGTGAATGAAAAAGCAAAAAAGAGAAACATTATTAAGGAACGAGAACAAAAAAAGAAGAAGAATCAGAAAACAGAACAAACGATTGACATCGCATTTAATTTTTGAAGATCAAAATTGGCTGGAAAGCATGCAGTGAGTTCCGTAAGCGAGATGTGCAAGTGAAGAAACTGTTAGCATAGAACTTACGGTTCCTTCTAGCCAATTCAACTGTAAATTGATGAGACCTTGTTACCAATCGCATACTGCTCTTAAATTCACAATGTCTAGGTACCATAGATTGAAATTAATTGGAAAAATTATCATGAAAGACTTTTATAGAAGTCACATTACATCGATAAGAAAGTGACTGAAGCTGAGATGTTAGGTTAGGACCAATAACATTGCGGATTCTTCTTTTGATTTTTTTTCAAGAATCTCTAAATATAAAGCAGTAGCACTGGACCATATGTGTCAGCAATATTCAAAGCATGAACGAATGGTAGACTATAAATATCTAAGAAAATATCTGGAAAGAAAAGATTTCTAGCACGACCCAGTGAGCCAACTTTCTTAGCAGCAGATCTAATATAATCTTTCCACTTCATGTCAGCAGATAATATTAGCCCGAGAAAGCACAACGAGTCACTCTCCTGGAGGTTAACATCAACCATGTTGAATGAAAACTGAAAAGGCTCTCTCAGATAGAGATAAATTTCGTTTTGGAGCCGTTAACATTAACAAGTTCTTTTTTCGTCTCAGTTAGCAGATTGTAGGTCGTTTTTGCGATCAGCTGCCTATTTGATCTCAAAGAACTGATCAGACTTACTATTGAGAGTTCGGTAAATAGTCGTGTCACCAGTATAGATACCGAGTTGAGAATTGATGTAATCAGTAAGGTCATTGATGAAAATTAAGAACAAAGTAGGTCCAAGGATAGAGACATGCATTAATACGAAAAGATCTAGAAGATTGGACGTTCAGGAAATTCATTTTGTGATTTGATAAGATAGAATAAATTAGTTAAAACAATTCGCCCAGAAATATCATAAGCTTCCAATTTGTGAAGAAAACAGTTAAACTCTGCCGAATTCTTTCGAAATTTAAAATACATATATTAAACAAGTGTTAGTTGAGATGGGTACTATAATTTTATTCATATTTTCTTACTATAAAAATATCTTTAGATGAATAAGATATATAAACTCAGGCATATACACAGATACATGTGAGCGGAAAGTGTGTTACTCATTGTTTAAAGTACGTTTGTTGAAAATGATTTCTATTTCCAAATATTGAAGCTGCTTGTCACTGGCTTTAATCGAAAATCAAAAAGGAGAAGCAATTTTACATTTTTTAATCACTTGCATCTTCCTACAACAATATAGGAAAAATAATTACTTGAATAGTTTTCAACATTTATTTGTGTCTTAGTAATGAACAGCTGAAGTAACAGCTGAATATTGATTAACGGATATAGATATAAAACTTAATCTGTTTTACATGGACATCTAATGTTTGCATAAAGAAAATACATTCTCTCCAGAATCTATCTTATATATATATATATGTCTACCATTCGTCCATGCTTAGAATATTGCTACCACATATGGTCCGAGGCCCCTGCCATTTACCTTAGGTTCTTTGATAAAATCCAAAGAAGAATCAGCAATATTATTGGTCGGTCACTTTCATTCTCTGTGTCTTTTCTATAAATACTTTAATGGTAATTGTTCGGATGAGATCTTCGCTATGGCACGTAAACTTTTTGAATTTAAACGCAGTACTAGGCAGGCGTCAAGGTCTCATCAATTTACAGTTGAGCTGGCTAGATGTAGTCGTAAGTTCTATGTTAATAGCTTCTTTTCCCGCACTTCTCGCTTGTGTAACTCTCTTCCGACTCTATGTTTTCCAACAACTTTAATTTGCAAAAATTTAAATGCATTGTCAATCGCTGTTTACTGTCCTCCTGATTATTCTTTTCTCTTCCCGCTCATTATTGTTTCTGTTCTTAATTCTTCGACACCCAATAATCGCTTGTGTCTTAGTGGCTTTACTGCCATCCATGAGATGGTAACTATAAAAATATTTGGTGAAAATGATCATTTTTTGGCTTTCCTAGAAATAATTTACAAATCTAGTGTTAGATTCTTAACAGAGTAAGCATTTCATCAAAATTCGTGTTGAAGTTGGGTGCAGAATGGTAAACAGAACTCTTGCACATAAAATAACATTAATTTCAAAAAGCGCATGCGCAGATGTAACCAATTTCAATACCACTGTTCAAGGTAACCTAAACACATCACGGGAATCTTTGCAAAATATTCTAAGAAAATGAATCTCTTATTGTCATACAATCAAATTTATTGGATTTTTCTCTGAGGAACTTTATCCACCGTATCTTTATCCATGACACTGAGTTTATAAGAAGACAAGAGGACAAAAGAAGCTTTATTTAAGAAACTTGCGGTAATATTCAGTTAAAGAAACCATGTAAGGAAATATGAAACAACACACGCAATAAACAAGTGTCTTCATGATTGCACAAATTTGTGTTTGTGAATGTTTCGTTTGAGAAACACTCATAAAAGCCAATATGTTTAATTACTGGAAGATGGCATTTGTTCTATCCAAAGAAGAAAAGCAGATATCGAAATTACTTTTTATCAACATCCCGTCGCATAATTCTACCAAACATTTTCACTGATATTTTCTTTTGCAATATCAGCCATAGCTCAAGGCATTTTTCACGGAGTACGGAGAGAACGCTATCAAATCATTTTCTAACATAAACTATAACAGCGCACAAATGTGTTAATGAAATCTTCCATTGGTCTTAACGAGGATCAAATAGACATATGATGAGATAAATATTACATTTGCGAGAGTCAGCTGAAAAATGAAATTTGGACTAGGAGCTCGTAATGAACGTGGAGAAAAATTGATCCAATGTTGCATAGCGAATGATCAGGTAGTAGCCAACATCTGCTTCCAGGAACACCCAAGACGTACATGGACATGGCGAAGCCCAAAAGAAAAAGCAAAAAACTAAATAGACTATATAACTATCAATAAGAGATTCAGTAATGCAGTTTTACAGGCCAAAACATACCCGCCAAAATATATCCAAGCGCCGACTGCGGGAGCGACCACCTTCTTATTATATGTAAAATTAGAGTGAAACTACGGAAATTAAAGAGGACCAAAGAAGCAACCAAATTTTAATACGACAGACTCCTGAATGACCCGAATGTGATGGAAAAATATATGAATAGTATTAAAAGCAGATATAATAAACCAAAGGAGAATGTAATTTCCAACCGTGATACATTAAGTGAAACTTTAGTAACATCAGCAATCGAAATTATTCTAAAGAAAATTAAGCAAAGAAAGGAGGAGTGGACGACATATGAACTTCACGACATGATGAAAAGGAGACAAAAAACCCCCCAAAAAACAATGTCAACGTATGGCACAGGATATAGAATAAATTACAATGAAATTAGGAATAAATGCAGGCGGGCTAAAATGGAATGACTCAACGAAATATGTGCAGAAGTAGAAAGAATGAGTAGCACAGATAAAACAGAAACGCAATAAAAAATAAGAGAACATAGCAAAAGACATGCTTATCAACAGGTTGCATAAAATACAAGGACGGGATACTGATATTTGAGAAAGAAAAAGGTATTTCAGAGATTGAATGAATACACTGGAGAACTCTTCCAAGATAGTGGAGAGCAATCCGCCATATACAGAAATATCGAACGACCAGAAATATTAAAATCTGAAGTAGTATCAGCACTGGTTAAATTGAACAGAAACAAAACAGCAGGACCAGGCGTATTTGTAATCGAGATGCTGGCAGCTTTAGATGATTTAGGCATTGACAAGATTATAGATATGATAAATATACAACAGTGGTGATATACCGGAAGACTTAAGTAAATCTATTTTCATAGCACTATCTAAAAAGACAGGTCTAAAAGAATGTGAACTCTATCGGACAATCAGCTTTGTAACAAAATTTATTCGAATTCTGATGGATAGGACACGCAGCAGAATCAGACCGAAAATAGGACAAGAACGTTGCGGGTTCGTTAAAGACCCAAAGAGGAAATACAGACAAAGAAGTATGTATACCTGTGTTTTATAGATTATGCAAAAGCGTTTGATAAAATATATCACAAAGGCCTGTTGGAATTGCTAGGTAACCTTGGCGTATTTGGGAAGGATATTAGAAAACCCAGAACTTATACTGTCAGTAAATATCCTGCATGAGGATAGAAAAGCTATTTAGTAGATATACAAAAATAGAGAAGGGTGTAAGAGAAGGATATTTCTTCTCGTTGGACTTACCCAGTTTTTACAGTGTGGCGATTCTTAGATAATTAGAAGTTCTACCAGTATTCATTAGTTGCGGCCACAATCTTAACAACATTATATATATATATATATATATATATATGGAATAGTATTGATAGAAGACACAGAAATGAAGTTAATGGATTCCTACAAAAGAAGGTGAAGGAAAGCGAGAAGCAAAGACTTAACATCAATTGTAAGATGACAGAATGTATGGTTGCCAGTAAAAGGAACAGCCCAACATGTAAATTACAAATTAGTGATATCAAAATCAAGCAAATACAAGAATTTAAATATCTGGGAAATATTTTAAAAGAGGACGGAAAATTTAACACCGAAATTCGAATCAGCATTCAGTCAGCCAGTTATGTGCCACGCGAGATACACGCTTAAGCGATCATATATCTTTCGATACATGACTGACGAGGCAGATTTTTTCCGCAGTAGGTTCCCATTTCTTTTTGCGGGAGACCAGTTGCCATCCACGTCTACAGAACCCGATCAGTCCTGCTATTTACCCATAGCTAAGGGGAGAAGAAGAGGATTCATACCTTTCCCAAGAGTATTAGCACGTAAGTGAATGTAATGGATTCGATTTGAATTCGAACTCGGCTCTCCGATTCCTCAATCCGAGCCGCTATTCATTACTCCACCGTAGCAAAAGATGCCTTCGAAAATCTAAGCAAAGTATTAAGAAACAGCAAAATTTCATTAGAAACAAAGAAAAGAGTACTTAACTGTTATGTAATATCGGCCCTTCCTATATGGCAGTGAATACGAGAAAATCTCATCACAGAGGCAGCAGAGATGTGGTTCTACAGAAGGATGCCGAGAATACCATGGACTGAACATGTGAGCAACGAAGAAGTTTTACAGAAAATGGAAACATAAAGGACACGTATCTATCAAGGATATATTTTTTTGGGGAAAAATATGACAAATAGAAAAGCTGACTTTCCTGACAAACCTAACGAGTCAAAATATATTTGCTAAACATGAGGACAAATTTCGAGATATCTACATATTTTAGTCTTTAGTATTCTTTGGTAGTGGATTGTTATACATCAGAAAAAGACAGATAAAATTTCTAAGGCATATAATAAGGAAAGAAGACTTGGGAAATTTAAAACTCACATGACATATTGAAGACAAGAGGGACAGAGGAAAATAGCGTATAAGCTACCTAACGAGCTTGTGTGAATGGATAACAGAACAAGGTTTAGAAGAGACGGAAAAATAGAAAATTTAATGAGAGCTTAAAGGACAGGAAATTGTGAAAAGGTATGATCGACAACGTCCTTATTTTCACTGATATGTCGAAATGTCTGAGAATTGTGTCAAAATCACTTTAATCTTATGACAATATTGCAATACAGATTTTTAATTAGAATCCACATTATAAAATCAATTATCCATTAATTAAATACTTTTTTTTCAGAGTCACTGTCTTCGGGAGTCGAGTCATCAAAGAGTGCGACGTGAAGAACCGAAAACTTCCAATCAAACGGACGATATCCAAGTCGCTTCTTTGTTTCTGGTTGTTACAGCCATGCCAACAAGTAGTTGTAAGTATTTGAGTGTCATGGTTTTATAGTTTTTATTAGGGAAATCAAACCAATCGACAAAAATGAGATCTAATTATTTTTGTGTGTAGACGTCAATGGGTTTGCGATCTGGAGTGCTGTTATACTCGTAGCCATCTTTCTGTCTGAAATTTTGGGATGACGAATTAGCTTTATCTAAATTGCTTACCATCGGACTAATGTCTTCATCTTTGTCGTTATTATAACATATAATATTATATTCCGGTCGTAAACATTTGGATTAATGGCCACACCTTTGTTGTTATTATAACGTTTATTACAAAAAGGTTTCGACCGTTGTACCCTTCGGCCTTCTTCAGGTGTCTGTCGATCCGGGTAACCTAGAGGGAATTTCAAATTGAACCCTTTATTTAATTTACAGAGGTAGATTTTTCTCGTCTTGTTCTTTTTAGTACTGTTATCTCTGTTTCTATCCTTGCCTAAAGGATTATAGCGCTGATTCCTGATTAATAACTGCGAGTTCAATCCCTGGGCCTGGTAGTACAGACTTAACCTCAATAGAAACAGGGCAAGCAATAACTGAACAGTATTAAAAAAGAGTGGGTTATACCTAAACACGGACAGTGTTCAGTTCGAAATTCTTTGAAAGGCATCTGGTTCAACAGACAACTGAAGAGGACTGAAGGGTAAAACGGTCGAAATCTTGTTGTAAGAACAACAAAAATGAGACTATTAGTCCTAATATAAATATTGTAGATAATGTAATTTAGTAGACTGATAAAATAATAGTGACTTGCAGGAACATGGAAAATTCAGCTGAAAATATTTGAAGTTTCATAGCAAAACATGTAAATCCATTTATTCTGTAATACTGTATTATCCCCTTTTTTGTCTATTATGCTACGCAGCTTTTTGTTTATGAGATCTGCATATGCCACGAAATTGTTGTAATTAAAGCAGTTCATTAAGTCTAAACATTTTGGTAGTCGTTTTCCCCGCCATTATACGACATGTTAAAGGTGGTAGTATAGAAAGCACATTTTTAACTGTGAAATGTTTAATTTGTCTTTCAACATCATCATCTTGCGGCCTAAGCCGAGATTGAACTCACCAAAATTGGTGTAGTTCATAGTCTTGTCAAATAGCTGAATTCTTGATGCTTCGCTAGGGCTATCAAGGGTGTTTTTGTCGTGACACCATCACTAAATGGATTGCCAACCAAGGCTCAGAGAGACTCCATTCACCCTCTAAGAGCAGGTTTGAATTCAGAGTTTTTCTTCTCCTAGACCAGTTGCCATCCAAGGCTATTTATCCATAGCTGGAGGGAGAAGAAAGAGGATTCACACCTTTCGTAAGTGAATGTAATGGATTCAACTGGGATTCGAACTCGGCTCTCCAATTCCTCAATCCAAGCCGCTATCCATTACTCCACCGTGCCTCCATCAACTCAATAATGATAACTTAATAAAATCTATTATTAAACAAAACAAAATCGAGTAACTTATTATTTTTATGAACAAAACTTAAAAAATAAATATTTCAGAAATGAAAAATTTAGATTTATTAGATATGCAAAATTATATAATAATGCCGTCATTGCTTACTTTATTTAATTCTTTTTTCTATTTACTCCCAAGCTGTCATCTAAATGCTAAGGTGGTTTCTACTCTCAAAATAAATAATAGGTTAGAATTACTCAGCAGTTTCATTATAAACACCACAAAACAAAACAATCATTTATTTGTAAAGATATAAAAAAAACAACAAAAAAAAAAAAACAGATTGGAAATGAATAGCAAAACAATTATTTTAAAAAAATTGATTTTTAAAGCCGAATATGCCAATTAGTTATCTCTTTAAGTAAGAACGGTCAAGTTGGGCAGGATATAAGACATATACTGTTTCGAAATAAATGATAGAATGACATTTATTTAATATTACAGTTTTAACTGTTATTTTCACACACACATGGAGAAACAACTAATTTTATATAGTTAATTCATTTTTAAGCCTTTTGAGCAGGGACACAGACAAATTTTGAGATTTTATATATTAGATAATCTCGTTGGGAAAATAGAATGTATCTTAATTTTTAACAATTTCTTGAAAGACAATATTTTGTCTATTACTTTGCTGTCTTTATTGTTCTCTGCATTTTAGCTTACATTTGTTATTGTCTGAAAAAAAGATAACATAAATTATCGTGGGCTACGTAGTGGTTGCCACAGTTATATTCAATGTTGTTCAATATTTGACCTCGAGTCTTATTCTTATCACTGAATAGAACAAATAGGTTTCTATCCAAATCATACCATCGTGAGTTGTAAGATAATTGCAACATGAACTTGTTTTGAAGGACCATAGAAAGAGCTAATTGCATCGTATGGCGGTAGATACCGTTAAGCTTATTAATATAAAGGTAGTCATCAAAATATAAGTAAAGATTAATTAATGAAACATCGAAAAAAGAAAGAAAATTTATGTATTTTAATTATTCGATAAAGAAATGCATAACATATTGTTAATAAAACGTTTCTCTATTCTGTCATTGTAATCTATTCTAGAAGTTAAATCTACTGGAGATCGTCATTGAACACTTAACCTATTTCGCTCTAACGCAACACGATCTCTGTAGTTAACAAAATAAGTACAGTATCCTTTATCCGAAATTATATCGTCCTTGGTGTTGACCATGTTTGCCGTAGTCTCTGAATATGGAATCCAGTGAAGTCCGTAATCTGTTCAATATCAGAGGTCGGCAGTGAAGATTCAGAGAAAGTAGTGGCTGTTAAGTAATTCTTTAAGTCTTCGATATCAGGTTGGCAGTGCAGACAATTTGGGAGAAAAAATGTCTACCTTTATACACGTCGCATTGAATATTTTGAGCTTTCTGATTGGTTAACCCTTCTATTGGTGAACTATAAAATGAATCAGCTCATTTTGACTTGCTCACTAGTACATATGCCCAAAAAACTGCAACACTTGGCATGATGATAAACTACATCTGGCAGCAAAGCCTCTGATCAGGAAATTGGAGGTTTTGAGAAGCATGGAATCACCTCTTAATTGCTGTTGCCAATATTCCATTACAAAGCTAGAGTAGTCCTGGGTATGACGATAAACTACATCCGGCAGCAAGGCCTCTGATAAGGAAATTGAAGGTTTTAAGGAGCAAGAATCACCTCTTAATTGCTGTTGTTCACAGGTCCACCATGACCTGAAGTAGTAGCACCCGCTTGGGTCCCAGCTATGGGAAAATAGTGACCCCCTCCCAAACAGAAATCAACAGTACATTCGCATAATAAAATGAGCCACAATACATTTTATAGCAAAATGACAATCAATGCAACACTATAAAAATATTTTTATAGTAAAATTGCCAACAATACATTTTATGATTTACAAACTATATATTAAAAAAAACAACTTCACCTTGAAAGTATAAAATTAGGTACGAAATATCTGAAGTTGAAAGCATAAAATTGTGTACAAAATATTTAGATTTCGGCATAGAGATGTTGATATGCCGCTAAAAAAAAAAAATCAATCAACCAAACAACCAACCGAAATTCCAAAATTCAAAAACCTCCAAAATCCGAAAGTTTTTCAGGTACCGACATGATTTGTCACAAATGAAAAATTTCAGAAAGCTCTAGGTGATATGCACCTGTTGTAAGTGACCTGGTTTGCCCTGAGTGGGGGTTCCCCAGCCCAGACAGATATGCAGCCTACGTTAGCGCAAGTTTTTGTTAGCGATCGTTATAGTAACACCTTCCTTTGTGTATTACTTACCAGGTGTTTTGTACTCAATAAAGATATTAAAAAATGTCAAAAAGTCATGTATTTATATATATTTTTAAGTAGTGATCATGTTTTTTGTATATATACAGAAAGTACTCCATGGCGCAGTGGTTAGCAAGTTACCTTACTTTTGATGGTTACTGGCTTCGACACATTTGTGGCTTTGGTGGTTTTCTAAGTGTAGCTTAGATATGGCACAAGGCCGAAAGTATTGGGCACCTAGTGAGGACCGGATTCACATTTCAGTCGTAATAATGATTTTCTAAGTGTAGCTTAGGTGTAGTACAAAGCCGAAAGTGTGGAACGCTTAGTGAGAATCAGATTCACTACTCAATAGTAATTGATCTAGCTAGACAAGCTTGTTAATAATTACACCACATCGAAGTGCCCCCTCCCACATTTGTGGCTTTGTATCAGCATAATAAATACAGTTTTTCTTTTGTGTGTGTATGGGTACAGTCACATATGGTAATGAACATCATGCCTTTCTTTGTCCCTAACTTATATTATTTAAATTAAATAAATATATAAAATAAACAAGTAAAATTGGCTGATTCCAAGTCCTACCTGAAGATAAACGATATATCTATTACGCCAGCTGTTTGATGTTAAACAATACTCTGAAATGAACTCACAGATAAGAAGTTAGGCTTCGAGGCACAGACATTATATTGATCTTGGGCAGAGAGCCTGAGAGAAATACTTTAATCCGAGGCAGGACGCACAAATACGAGGAAAACATTCGCAAATTACACCATCATTTTTTACGGGTACAATGCTAATATTCTACTAATGTGTTTTATAATCTATAAGCCTGATTTGTGGTTGATATTAATTCATTGTTACCACTGGCTCTTATGGTCAAGGTGGGATTAAAGGTAAAAAGAAAAAGGAAAACAAAACACTTAACAAATATTCCACCCCCCCACATCCTCCCATAATGGCACTTTCCTGTTTTCATAGCAACCAGTACATACATCATTCTTCCTATCTATCTATCTATCTATCTCACTTTATTTCCCCCCCTCTTACTCTCTCTCTCTCTATCTATCTATCAAGTTAAGTGGTGAATTGGTGAGCAAAGTACAGACATCTCGCAATTAATGCGCATTCGATTAGTGCGCTAAAATGTTTACATACCAAAATTTGATTAGTGCACACATCATACTCGATTAGTGCGATAAAATCACTTAATAATCTTCACTTAGTAATTAACCATAATAATTGAAAATTGAGTTTTTATCGTTACCGATGTACACATTAGCCGCACTAATCGAGGGATTCCTGTATATTCAATCTACTCAAAGGATGTAGTTTGATTTACTATTGTAAAAGGCAAACGACCTGTCACGTTTTAACGAGATTTCTTACATACATAGACTACAGACACATTTATATGTTTCTATACAACATTCACTGGATAAATTGTCGGAGTTTGAATGAAAACTCATATCATCTGCTTGGCATTTTTTTATTTTTGTAATTATCATTTGTCATTGAGATTCGATATATATATATATATATATATATATATATATATATATATATATATATATATATATATTGATTTAATAAGACATTTCATAGGATTCTTTTTTGTCATTGAAATTCGATACAGATTTCTCCACCTCATGTATAGGATCTTGACATAGATTTGTGAGTAAAGAGAAAAAGATTAAATAAACTCGCCCTTTTGACAGAAATAGTAATATTTAATTGTAGCTTATGTCTTATTGCGATAAACGTTATTTTTAGTGGGTAAGTGTGTCTGAATTGCTGGCCTTGATTTTTTTTTGTTTTTTTAAACTGAAATTATTAACAACCGATCGAGAAATCCTACTAAAAAAACATTGCGCCTTCCCGACATAAATCGAACCTATATCCATTTTTGCATCAAGGAAAACGTTTCTATAGCCGAAATGTGTGGATAAGCGTTTTCCCTGATGTAAAACGGGATATAGGTTCGATTCCTGTCGAGAGGCAACATTTTTTTTTAGTCGGTTGTTAATAATATCACTGTTTAAAATAAAAAGAAATATTGTCGGATTAAAACATCCACAGCTAAAAATCATGTATTATTATGATTATCTATGCGTGTGTGCGCGTGCATGTATGTACATTAAATGGCACAAACACATATAAGTCATTCACGTAGAAAGACATAATTAGCCCGTTACTCGTTTTCGTGCCCATCCGTCTACCGGGCGGCTAACTAATCGCTGTTGAGGTCTTTTTTTCAGAGACATTTGTGTTTTTTCAACCTCACAGAACCCATTTGTGGTTTATACTACAACTATTCTGAGTTGACCTTAGTTACAGTTTCTGGGATATTATAGTATAGAGAGAGAGAGAGAGAGAGAGAGAGAGAGAGAGAGAGAGAGAGAGAGAGAGAGAGAGAATATATATTTTAGAAAGAGAGAGTGTATGAAAGAGAGAGTGTGTTAGTATGTGTGTGTGTGTGTCTATAAGTGGATGAGGGAGAGAGCGAGAGAGAAAAACAGGTTGTTTAAATAAGAGAGAAATATAGTTGTGAGAGTACGGGAGAGAAGAAGTTTGTGCGTAGGGGAGAGAGAATATGTATGAGAGAGATATATTATGAATATCTGTGTGTATGTGCTAGAGAGAGAAAGAGAGAGAGAGAGAGAGAGAGAGAGAGAGAGAGAGAGATGTGTGTAGAAGTAACCTAGAAAAATATGTTTGGGTATAGTGTTTAATGACTAACAAATTCCGTTTGTTGTCTACACAACGCCGAATATGATATGGAAAATATATAAAATATTAAAATATTCATAGGTATAGATAGTTTCACCTATCGTCAGGTCCATACACCTCCCTGATCTTTTGAACAGGAATATAACTTTATCTCTTGTTTCCTGCTTTAGATTGAGTTTCCTGTTCGTTCTAAGGTCCAATTCAATTCAATATTTCTAACGTTTTCGCCTGAACTCGAAGATTTTACTTACTAATTATTTATTTATTTTATTTAATTTTTCTCCTCATTTGGAGTAGATAGGTTCGCCTATCGCCCGGTTCAGACTCCTCTCTGGTCTTTTGAACAGGAGTAGAGCTTTGTTGTTCTCTGTTTAGGGTTAGGTTTCCGCTTTCTTCTAAAGTCTTCTCATTCTCTTTCACTCCTAATAGTCACTTGCTTCTTAGTGACATTATCGCCTTGCTTGGAGTAAATTGATAAAAAATAATTATATACTTTTAAGATTTTGGATGCTTATAATGCCTATTATGTCCCCTCCTCGAAAATAAAACGAGTAAAAAAAAAAAAAAAAAGATATGAAAATAGTCTGTCGTTGACTGAGTCTGTAATGAGTGTTTTTCTCCCTACTGGGGAATTACCAATAGACCACTAGAATCCAGAAACGACGCGAAAGGCAACACACATAATTCAAAACAGTCAGTATCAGTGCGAGAGAAGTAGTATTTTTAAAATACCTCTAATCATTAATAAATAAAGTCAAATTTAGCTATTGTTTTACTATTAAATTTTTTATTAAAAAATATCAACATTCGATAAAGTAGATTTCCAAAAGCAATTTAATTGTTTAAAATTTTTATTTTAATGCCATTTAGGATTTAACATAGCATTTTTTTTTATTGCTTCCAATATTTTAACAAATGATATGTAACCTCTTTATCGAATATTTACAAGTTATATCGCAAGTTCAATGATCAACTGCCAGATTGTTATTCATTTTCTGTGGGAATCAGTGCAACCGTTCTGATCAAAATAACGCTGTAATAAAAGCGAAATTGGGGAAAAATCACGATTCATTAGCATCCTCTCTTATTCGTGTCTTATCGATTCTAAGTATTATCTGATTCATTCTATCTACAATTTACATTTTCTTAGAAAAGTGCAGATAACGTGAATAAATTGGTATACACTATACAGCAATACTGCAGTACATTTTATTTACTTTAATAATGACTTACGTTTCTCTCTTGCCAATATGTGAAAAACAGTCATAAAATTTGGCGACTCTGTTCTACATCGAGTAATAGACTTTCTTTACACTTGAACTCTTTGATTGGTATAGCTGTATGTTAAATCAGTCTCCTTATTGCCGTGACAGCTTTTCTAGACATATCTACTTGTAGTATGGTATGTATTGTGCAATTGTAGCGTGACGTCATATAAATCGACTCTGTTCCGGTTGAAGTGTCTCATGGTGATAAGGTGATAAAAGCATCACATGACAATGATTCGAGCATGGGATGAGTAAATTTACGTAGTAATATTTTTCAAGAAATAACGAGAAAGAGAGAGAGAGATAAAGAGTATGAATATATATTTTAGAAAGAGAGAGTGTATGAAAGAGAGAGTGTGTTAGTATGTGTGTGCGTGTGTGTGTATAAGTGGATGAGGGAAAGAAAGAGAAAAAAGGTTGTTTAAATAAGAGAGAAATATAGTCGTGAGAGTACGGGAGAGAAGAAGTTTATGCGTAGGGGAGAGAGAATATGTATGAGAGAGATATATTGTGAATATCTGCGTGTATGTGCTAGAGAGAGAGAGAGAGAGAGAGAGAGAGAGAGAGAGAGAGAGAGAGAGAGAGGCAGGAGAAAGAGAGAGAGATTTAGTATGTGTGTATAATAGTGTGTGTGTTGCACGAGGTAGGGAGAGAAAATGTGCCTGCTTGAGAGAGACATAATGCGTGTGTTAGAGTAGGGTTGAGAGTACGTGAGCGAAGGTGTTAGAGTGGGAGAGAGAGAGAGAGAGAGAGAGAGAGAGAGCGAGTGTGTATGAGAAAGAGAAATTATGAGTGTGTGTATGTGCTAAGGAGAGAGAGGGGAAGTTAGTATGAGGGTTTAGAAAAAGAGAGAGTGATCGTTTATGTGAAAGAATTTCTGTATGTGTTAGAGACAATATGTGAAGGCGAAAGTTAGTGTGTGTGTTAGAGAGAAAATGTGTGCGTGCGTGAGAGACATTTAATGCCTATGTTAGATTGATAGAGTGTGTGCTCAAGATAGAGGAAGTGTGTGTAAGTATGCACGAGAGATTGTGTGTTTGACTAAAAGAGAATATGTTTGCATAAGAGAGAGAATATGTGTGTTAGAGTGCGAGAGAGCGAGAGAAAGAGTTATTATGGGTGTATGTGTGAGTGTGCGCGTGCGAGTCAGAGAAAGAAACACACACACACACACACACACACAGAGAGAGAGAGAGAGAGAGAGAGAGAGAGAGAAAGAGTAAATGATGTAACATAAATTTAAATTCATCGATTTATTATGCCCAAGCTGAGAATCGGTTGCAATGACATGCGAATTTAGTTCCAATATAAGTGTCAAACAAAAATATAATTAAATATTTGATTTTGTAATCTAATTAGAAAGCTTACTTCTACGTGATAAATTCATTCAGGAGGTAGACGATGATGGGTCTCCACAAGCTCATATCTTTTGTGACATAACCTCATATCTTTAGCAGCCAACGACTGTACCTTTGTCAAGCCTCCCGTCCCACGTTCCGCCATCCATTCACACAAGCCACCCCCTGTCCCTCTGATCCTCGATATGCTCTGTGAGTGTTGAATTTTCTAAGCCCTCTTTCCTCATTATGTACCTTAGAAATTTCAGCTGTCTCTTTGTGTCCTTTTTGTTTCCATTTTTCTTAAGACAGCTTCGTTCCTTACGCGCTGCGTCCATGGAATTCTCATCATCCTTCTGTAGAACCACATTTCTATTGCCTTAATTATAATCCTCACTTTCTATTTTTGCGTACCTACTCTATGCATTTTCTTTTCTTAAGCATGCTGTTTGCTTCCAGTATAACTCCTGGATTATTCTAACATCCTTCCCAAATTGATTTAGTTTTCCTAACAGTCCAAATAGATGTTTGTGTCGTAAGTTACCAAATGCTTTTGCCTAATCTATAAAACATAAGTGTAAACGTTTCTTCATTCGTATTGCTCTTTCTGATATCATTTGGAACATCAATGTAGCATTTCTTGTTCCAGTATCCATGACGAAACCACGTTGTTTGTGTCCTATTTTCGGTATAATGCTGCTTCGCGCATTATTAATCAGAATTTGGATTATTAGTTTGGTTATGTGGCTCATTAAGCTGATTGTCCGATGGAGCTCGCATTCATTTGCACCTGGTTTCTTAGTTAGTTCTATGAAGATGAATCTACTAAGGAAGGGGTTCTCAACCAGGGTCCATATAGACCCTGGGGTCCATGTAACATTACTGGGGTCCACACACGCACACACACACACACAAAATAGCAAATTGGGAGTCCGCGGTAATATGTTAGTAGTCCATAAAACAATTTTACTTCTACAGAACGGGCGTTAAAAATGGGAATGTAAAAATAGCAGAAAACGAGATCAAGCGATGTAAGTTAGCGTCCCTTTTACTCTAATGGGTGTTTTGATTGTAAAATTTGAATAAAACCCGAGAAGAATATATAAGGGAAGGATTATAATTATTTAAAAAAAAATATGATTCCTCTCGTTTTTGAAACATGAGAACTCTTATGTAGCGAAAGAATCATATTTTAAAAAAATTATTTACCAAACGTGTTCTTTCGTATTTTTCTACATACCTGCACACATATAAGGGAAGGATTATATATATAAACGGAAATTATATAAAGATTCCTAAACTTATCTATTAGTAAAAATCGGACGGTAATGAGGGCCACCAAAAAAAACAAAAACAAAAAAAAAACAACAAAAAAACAAAAAACGAAAGCATAAAAGGAGTCGATGGGTAAAAAAAAGGTTGAGAAGCACTGTACTAAGGTTTACCGCGATGTAGATATTCTCGAATATTTCCAAAAAGATATCTTTTATGACTCCCACGTTTCTTAATGGCTTGAGAATTTTAATGCCACCAAAAACAAAACTGCTTTCATATGACGGCCATATAGTAACCTTTCTATCTGCCATCAGCATGGCTGACGCTAGACTTCTGAAAAACAACGCACTGCACCTTCTTGGTCTCGCGTTTTCAAATGACTTGAAGTGGAACGACTACATCGAGTCAATAGCTGCCTCTACTGCAAAGAGAGTTGGGTCACTGTGTCGTGTATGAAAATTTTTTCTCGTCAGAGTCCATCTTTCACATTTACAAATCTGCCATTCGTCAGTGCATTGAATACTGCTGCTTTATCTGGTCTAGTGTTCCTGCTATTCATCTCGAGGTTCTTGACAAAATCCAAAGAAGGATATGTAATGTAATCGATCCTGACTTGGCATCTCGACTTCAGTCACTTTCTCACCAACATGAGGTGGCTTCCCTCTGCCTTTTCTATAAATATTCTCATGGCAACTGTTCTGGTGGGATTTTTTCCCTGGTGCCCTGACTACAGGAATTTAAGCGTGCTACTAGATTGTCATTTAGGTCTTACTCATTTACTGTTGAAATAGCTAAATGCGACCGCCACATCTGCTCCAACAGTTTCTTTTCTCGCACTTCCCGCCTGTAGAATTCTCTTGCCTGATAACCACAATCTTCAAAAATGTGTCATGTCCCAGTGGATAAAGCGTTAGTTGGAGTAATCCAGTGACTTGACTCAAAGAGTTCAATACCTTGCCACAGCAGAAATGAACAAAAAAAAAACAAAAAAAAAACAAAAAAAAACTAACAAACTTGCAGAATTGAGTTACTAAAGGGAAATAACTGAAACTGAGATATCCAGAAAAGGCATTGCATGTAGAACTAGAATAATCTACCCCGGTGGACGAAATAAAGGGTTCGGTTCGAAATTCCAACATATATCACCTGAAGAAGGCCGGAGCGTACAGCGGCAGAAACGTCTTGAATATGACAATAAAGATGAAGACAACAGTCCGAACAATGTAAATAGTGTAAAAAAAAAGCACTTTTTGTGAATTTTACCTTAGCAATCTAACTCATCGACTTCATAGAGTCCACAAGTCTGTAATTTTTTCGATGGCTGCATAGCATATGCCTTACTAACTGTACTACTGTACTGATGCGGCATTCACCCTGGGCGGATTGAGCCGGCTTCTTCCTGTTATGAGAAGATTCTTGGGATAAATTACAGAAGTAGGGCCCCAGGCCTACTCGGATAACGTTTTTGCTTGCCGCGGGGTTCCCACAGACGCAGAGACAGAAACGACCAGAAGCCGCCGGTTACCGATGCAGACGCTCCTTGGATTTTCACCAGAGCCCTTGTTAGCCGGCGTGTGTGTCAGACCTGTCCGCCTTGGTGGCCCTACCAGGAACGAAGTTCCGGGCGGCATAGCTCTGACACTACTGTTTACCCCCCCCACCGACTGTGAGGTAAGGGTTGGACTTTGGGGCTTACAGTACCAGGTGTTCCCAAGCGGTCCCCCATCTAAGTACTGACCTGGCTCTACGATGCTTAACTTCGGTGATCGAACGAGAACCGGTGTTTCAGCGTGATTTGACCGTATGCCTTACTAAGGTTACATATGGTTTCAAATTCACACTTGTTGCCAAACAAGGCTAGAGTGTGTAGTCTGTTGTGCTATTTAATGCATAAGTGTGTGTGAAAAGAGTATTTATTTTCCAGAAATATATGAACGAATGTGGATATAACAAACTCAACCGGAATTCGAACTTGGCTCGTCGTTTTTTCATTCCGCTAACCATTACGCTACTCGCACATTCGTAATTGAACAGATTCGAATGAAGTAAGCGAAATTCTGTAAACGTTCTAAAATATATTTAATTCGAAAAACTTGTACATATTCTTGTTTATTTCATTAAAATCGTGCATATTTAATGTCCTTGAACGACATTGATTTGATGGATATTATGGAAATTTAACATTTATGCTTTAAGAGAATCCAGTTTCAGGAGAAAAAAAATATACAGCTTTCATATTTATTTCTCACTATAAACCAGTATTAATCGAAGTGGAATAGATTTGATAAAAAAAGGAAAAAAAAACAAAAACAAAAAAAAAAAAAAAAACCAAAACCAAAAAAACATTGATTGATGCCCAGACTAAGGTTGTTTTTTTTTTTATTAATGTTAATGAAAGACTTATTTTTTTTTTAATTTTCCTGGTTTATTCTTTGACTTTTTCAGTTTTATTTTGCACTTTTTTAAATCTCTCTATAAACATAAATATATTCAAACACATCCTACATTTCTTTTATATGTTTGTATTTGATGACATCACTTCTATTTCTGCTACAATATACTAAATTTATGCAACGAAAATATGCAAACGATATTTTATTTATTGTTATTTTATTTGCCAGCTCTATCAGAAAATACTGAGATGGAAAGCGTCTGCATCCAACCATTGACATTTACCGTTACGCTTTCTGTTCTCGGAGTTCTTCTCCTCATCTGCATCATATCGACGCTGTCTCAATGCGCTCGTTTGTGTAAAAACAAAAAGAAAGGACACCATTCAAATGGATCTAGGAATACGCATCCAGATACCGGATTCGTACGTCGAGCATAAAATTTATGCCTGTTTAAAGACTATCAAAACCAAAATCTCATTTGGGGGTCTTACACTTATGCAATTCAATTGAGAATAAATACATTAAAATACTATATGTTTATTTGTCCATTCATTCATTAATTCCGTATTTTAATCTGAACAGTTTTATATAATTGCTTAGAACCTGTTGACAGCGTTGAAAGTGAACAGTATGAATGGTCCCTTAAAGATTTGTGGAGGAAAGTTTAGGATTTTTATATCACGTCAAGTGGACAACTTGTGCAGAGTGGTTTTACCACATTTTTGCGAATGGAATAGTTCTTAAAAATTGATATGGTAAGGTTGGTATTTGCTACGGGAAATGGTTGAAAACTTTCAAAGTAAATGAACATTTTCAAAAGAATGAAAATCGACACGTGGAGGATTTTTTTACACACACACACACACACACACACACACACACACACACACACACACACTAGATAAAGAATAACATAATTCAAGAAGGGATAAAATATAATTGTGTGTACAAAGATAGCTAAAAAAAATAGATATTTATGTTTGTGTATGTGTGTATGTTATTTGCGCCACGTGGAAAGGTTGAAATTTTGCAGTCGGTTGCTCAGGAAATAAATTTTCTGGAGGTGTGTGTATACTTACCTCATTTTAGAGTGAAAAAGATAAAATCAATTCAAGTACCTTGCTACTCTCTACTTTTATAAGATCAGGTTCAAAAATGGAGTATTCTTGGTATATTTGGGTGGGAGCTGCCCATTCCTCACTTTCTAGTCTTTGTAGATTTTAAAAGCGTCTCCGAGTCCTTGTTGTTGAATTATTTTTCCACCTTCCAACCTCTCTCTCTCTCAGACGGAATGTAGCGAATGCTCTGTTGCTACTACCATGGAAAGTGCTCGGACGAACTACATTCCTTGGTTCCGCCAGGTCTAACCTTCACGGCTAGAACCCACCATGCTACTTACATAGTAGCAAACCACCCACATTACCCTCGTATTCCATCGGCGATAAGTAAGTTCCACTCACACAGCTCCCCGCAAACCACTGCTCTGTGGAACAAACTCCCAAGAGAATGTTTCCACGATCATTACAACCTTCTCAGGTCTATAGTTAACCGTTATCTTCCCTTCCTATCCATATAAACTATTCCTTATCTTAACCCTCTACCTCGAGTGCACCCCCAGGTCTTGTGCAGGATGAAACTTACTGTAAAAAATGTTCTTTTTATAGTCATGTATAGCGCCACCTAGTAAGCGTCCTGGAAGACAAGGTGTGGGTAATCGCCACAGATCAGCTTTGAGTTTTTATCAGCGCCCTGGAATGTAATTTGATTCACAAGATAGATATGGTTATTAGACAACAACAAACTTCGAATTTTGCTTACTGCTCGGCTATTCAATTTTAAATTGAATTTTATTTCTTTATATTGCAACAGAACAATAAGTGGAGTCGGTTGCTCAAAAATCAATTCTTGAAAGTCTTTCCAACAACTTACCTGAACGGATACAATAAAAATACATCTTTTTTTTCCCTGTTCACAGATTAGAAATAGGTGACAAAGGAATGCTTTTGTTCACATTATAATCGTTGCAAGTACATTTTATTGTATATATTCACACGTACAATTAAAGCGTACCAATGATTCTTGACTACGTGATCTGAACAACTATTGATGAATGAGTAAACGTTATTCAAAGCTTACCTAAATATAAAACTATATAAGCAAACCTGCCAAAATTGAATAATAATTATAGAAAGAAGAAGGAGATGTAAAATGAAAGTGAGAAACGAAGAAATAGAAACAATGAGAGCGTTCACTTCGACGTGATTGGCTGAACTACGTAAACAAAATAAAATGGCAGTTGATTCCTAATTGAGAGAACAAACGTAGCCGAACGTTTTGATTGTTCTTTGAGAGGCAAAAATTTGTTCGTGCGGTAACGGCCTAATGAACAGGAAAAATATCTCAATTAGATCCAATGCAGAGGCGAACGACTACAAATAGAATAAATTGATTGATAATGAAATCAGAGTAACATTTTTGTTGAAAAATTTTCAACTTATCATTGTTTAAATTAATGAGAATTGCATCTGAACTACTTCATTAATAGTTGATCGAAAAGTTCATAGCAGAACGTATTTTATAGGTATTAATCAGCGGCGTACCTAGCGCTTGTGTCGCCCGGGGCGGTCGTAGAATTTGCCGCCCCTCTAAACAATATTTCAATACTGGACGTCATCTATAAAATATAAAATAAGATTACAATTGTGGTTGTTTATTTTGTTTTGATTGCAGACGAAAATACTACTACTACTATTACTAATACTACTACTGATAATAATAATAATAATGATAAATAGTTTCAACATCCTTAATTGGACCATAGCTGACATTAAACAAATAGATGCCAAAACGAGAAAACTTCTTACTTGCAACTGCATGCATCATCCAAAGGCTGATGTTGATCGTCTGAATGTGTCCAGAATTGAAGGAGGCAGAGGACTAGAACAGTCTTACAAAACCACAGCAATCAATCTTCAAAGATACCTGGGTCATCATCCAAAACCACAGTAGAAGACTGGATGATGATTTTTGTCAAAAACATGAAAGAAATAAGACAAGTTTATTCACTAATAAACGAAGCTAACAAATTCAAAAGGGAATTTCAAGTAGGTGAAGAAGTGAAAATAAACTTCAATACACTCACTGAAGTTGCAAAAAACCCAAAAAAGAAAGCAAAAACAAGTTCAATGTATTAAATACAGAAATGATGACAAGATAAGCCTCTTCATGGTCAATAATCTGCCCGTACCAGACAAGCGGATGATTACGTAGTACATGGTTAAAAGTCGAAAGTGAAAGTTTTATTCTTGCTGCTCAGGACCAAAGCTTGCTAGCTAGAAATTACGAAGCACATATACTGAGAATTGTGTTAACCCCAAATGCAGATTCTGTGATAAATATCCAGAAAAAAAATGACCATCTTGTATCAGTTTGCATAGTGTTAGCACCAACTAAATATAAAACTCAGCATGATAGAGTGGATGAATAACTGCACTGGAAAATATGCAACTTTTTCAGGAAGGAAACTGCAAGAAACTGGTGTGAACATCATTCAGACTGGGGTTACAGAAATAGGACCTGTAACAATTTTATGGGACTTTACAATGCACACACACACACACACACACACACACACACACACACACACACACACACACACACACACACACAGAACAATCAAAGCAATCGCCCAGACATCGTGATCAAAGACAACAAAACAGTATACGTTTTCTTATTGACATGAATCTTCAAGTGTAAATCTTTAAAATGTGGCACATGAGGACATCAATAATTCCAGTTGTAATAGGAGCCCTCGAATTGACTGAAAAAAGTTCCGATAGACACATTGAAGGGATTCCTGGTAACCAAGCCCATAAAGAAATACAAAAATTGTAGTCACAAGTACAGTTTACATATTACGAAGAGCTTTATCTATGTAAAATGTGTGATTTAACAAAAAATGATCAGTGGAAAACATCATGAATCCATTTCTGACCTTAGGTCTATAGTTGGAACCCGGAAGAAAATGTTTATCCAACAGAACTCCAAGGAAATAATAATAACAATAGACTGTATGTACCAATCGCTTTAGGAGGCTGAAGTCTAATCCAATTTGAACGTTAAAAACTATAACAATCGGATTGGGAAAAAAAAAAAACAATAACCCTCTCCTATATATAATAAAATACAAAATCTACTCCATCAACAAAGAAGCTACACTCTTCAAGAAACAGCTTAATATAACTGAAATCGTACCAATAAAAAACGAAACGAATACCATCTAGGCCAAAGGAGTAAAACAGAAAAGCAAAACAATTTGGCCAAATGAAATTACAGAAAAAAAACAAAAACAACAAACTGGGAGGACAAAGCCAATACCTAAAATGAACGAAAGAAGCAGATGTGAATCAACAGAAAACATATCAATGGCTGAGCAGCACCAGGCTGAAAGCTGAGACAGAAGGCCTAATTATTGCAGCTCAGGAACAAAGCTTCGCAACCAGATCCTATCACTGTCACATAATCAAGGATGGAACTAATTTAAAATGCAGGATCTGTGGAAAATATGATGAAACTGTTGATCATAATATGTCAGGGTGTCCGGAACTGACACACAAAATGGATATACTCACAGACATAACAAGGTAGCGGCTTATATGCACTGGAAGATATGCAAAAAACACAAAATCGAAACCACTTAGAGATGGTATGGTTACTAACCAAACACAGTTACCCAAAATGACAGTGTAACCATTCTCTTGGGCATGCCAATTCAAACTAACAGGGAAATAAAAGCCAACAGACTTGACAAGAAATTCAGGAAGTGTATGCTTATAACATAGAAGAACCATTTGAGAGAAACACCACCATAAGAATTATCGAGAAATTTTCCAAATACAGGGACCCTGAGATCGAGAGGATGTAGGGAATGAAAACTGAGACTATCAATAGTAATCGGAGCTCTGGTCCTCTTGAGAAAAGGAATAGACAATTTTACTAACAGTGTCCCAGGAAACATCAACATACAAGTTTCCTTAGAAGATCGCCCTGCTTGTATCATTCCATATAGTAAGAATAGTGCTATCAATTAACTGACAATTCTCCTATGGGGCCGAAGGACTATAGCTTGGACTCAGGTACAAAGTAAGAAACATAACATATACCAATAATAATAATAATAATAATAATAATAATAATAATAATAATAATAATAAATGACTTAACAGCAAAATATGAAGATAAAAATAATTAGAAAAAAAAGCCTTTTAGTAAATAAATTTTAGGATAAGTAACACACGAAAAATATAGGTACTATGAAAAAAACCTTAACACTAACTGACTTATTGTGTAACATTCAAAAGTAAATATTCACTTAACCATAAAA